AGGTTACAGATACATGGAATTTCACACATACTTTATTATCCTCTCATGATGAACAACGTTAAATTTTGTCCATTAGACGTTGTATTTCATATGTAAAATATGATAAACAAGATCAATGAGGAAAGGCGGCGTTCAATGAACGCTACCCCCACACGACCCGGCAACAACAACCAGTGGCACGGAGCCAGGAGGGCCCCAAACAAGAACGGGACAGGGCGCAAGGCAGAGCACGGACAGGCTAATCACTAAAATGATACATGAGAAACGTTAGTAACCGACAGAGAAATCATAATCAAAGAAAACAAATAAATTATTTAATAATAGGCCCACTAAGTAGCCGATATTGACGATAAGATTACAACAATAGCAGTATTAGAGAAGTGTCATAAATCTCACTATTTATATTTCTATTATTACATCAAACACACTGTTTAATGCAGGATACAAAAGAAACACATATTTCTGACATAAGTGATAAAGATGAAACCGACAGTTAAACAAAATCTACATGTACAGATAATGAAATAAACACAAAACAGAATCTAAACAGAAAGCCATATAACTTACTGTCAGGGGAAAAAAACATTAAAAACTAATTTTATAAGAGCTTAATTTTCATCGTTAGAAAAACAAACTTTGAAATTAATCTATAATAATATAGAAATTTGGAAAAGCGGTGATCCCTCGACAATATTAAATAAAATTTAGACTCTGTTTGATTGAGTCTTTTCCAGCGAGATAATGTAATATGCAACATCTTTAACTCCTCTAGAACCAGTTTTAGTGGTATTTTATCTTAAAGACGTACGTGCTGAATCAGTGATTCCAAAAGACCACAAAAATATACCGAAGTTAAGTACGGGGCAACAGCTGCCATACGACACTAGATACCTGCTTTTGTGTAGTATAAAACTTTGGGAAAGTGACGATCTTTGGATAGCAATAATTTGCAAACTCAGTTTTATTATGTCTATTCACAAAAGATTATTTAATGTGCAAAATCTTTAACGCCCCCTAGATATCTTCAACACTAACATAAATCAATGATATTTGGATCAAACAGTAGCCACTAGAGTGTTAACAAGATTTTTCTATTTTTAGCTCCTGTGACCTAGTTTTTTATCCGAGATGACCCATGTTCGAACTCATCCGAACAATTACCTAGATCGGATGACCCATGTTCGAACTCATCTTAGCAATTACCTAGACAAGCATTCTGTACAAGTTTGATGATGATTGAGTCAAAAATGTGACCACTTGAGTGTTAACAAGGTTTTTTCAATATTTGGGCGGTGTGACCTAGTTTTTGAACCAAGGTGATCCATATTCGAACTTGACTTAGTAATCATAAAATCAAACTTTTAGAACAATTTTCAGGTTATTTGGATCAAAACAGTAGCAACTAGAGTGCCAACAAGATTTTTCTAGTTTTAGCTCATGCGACTTAGTTTTTTATCCGAGATGACCAATGTTCAAACTAATCCGAGCAAATACCTAGACAAGCATCCTGTCCAAGTTTGATAACAATTGAGTCAAAAATGTGACCACTAGTGTTAACAAGGTTTTTCTATTATTAGCTCCTGTGACCTAGTTTTACATCCGAAATAACCCATGTCCAAACACATCTGAGCAATTACCTTGACAAGTATCCTGGCCAAGTTTGATGAGAATTGAGTCAAAAACGTGACCACTAGAGTGTTAACAAGGTTTTTCTATTTTTAGCTCCAATGACCTAGTTTTTCATCCAAGATTACCCATGTTCGAACTCATCCGAGCTATTACCTAGACAAGCATCCTGACAAAGTTTGATGATGAAATTTGTGACCGCTAGAGTGTTGACGAACAAGTGTGGACCGACGACAGACGACGGACGACGGACATTAAACGATTCTAAAAGCTCATCCAGAGCTAGCTCAGGTGAGCTAAAAACTTTGAAACAGTATCACAAGAAAAAGTGAAAAGATATGAAACATTATACAATACTTATTGAGGTCTTCATATGGTCTTTCGAACCTGAGAAAAGTAATATTTACTGACGACTATAGTCCAAGGGTAATGTAACTTTTCTCTTCACTGTTACTTTTCTCATTACTGTCGCCAATTCGGGGTTATTTTTTTAAACAGATAGGTAACAACATTTTAGCGAGAATTTAGGGTGAAATCTAAAGCTAATACATTTTTTACCTGGTCGTGTTATGAGGTTTGCTTTTTTCTTCTTCTTTTTACTGTTACTGGTTATTGGGATTTCATAAAAATTTCCTACTTTTTTATATAACTTTGACTTTGTTTTCAAAGTCTTCATAAAAAGATGATTTTCTTAAAGGAATTCAAATTCATAACACTTATAAGAAAAAGATAGCAAATGAAATATGTATACATTATTTCATAGTGCTCAGATTTGAAATTACTTCAATGATACATTTCTCATAAAAAAGAGAGAGGGAAAAATCTCATTGGGATTTTTTAAGATTCTTCGGGTTCATCTGAGCAAAATATGAGAACGTTTCAAATTATTACCAACCATGGTACATGTACATCGGCAATTTTAAACTAAAAACAAAATAAATAAAAATTAACACATATCATCATTATCATTAACAGTTCTATTCATCAAATATATATTAGATATAAAGATAACATACCGCCAGTCCTATGAACAGATTATTATCTTAATTATTATCATTTTATATGATATGATATATTTATGAAAAAATAACAAGTTACACACTGATACGAAACAGTAAAGTACAAAAACGGCTTGGATATTATATAATTTTTATGTATACATGTATTTTCTTAATATTTTATATATATGACAAATTTAATATTTTTTCATTTTAACAAAACATTTATTTTACATATCAACAAACATTCGAGCGATATTTTATTATTTTATAAAATATTATAATATAAAGATAGAAAGGTATTATTAGAAATAAACACTTGTGTTCCTAACAATTTCTTCGCTGTTTTAGATCCCATCCAGCTTCTTTGATTTAATAACTTCGCAAAAGCGCACAACTTTCTTTTAAATGATGTTTAAGCTATCCCTTACTGAAATCAACAAGTAATATATAAAACTGTTAAGAGTTATGAAAAAGCGCATTCTTGTGAATTTCTAAAAATATAGGGTTAATGCAACTTTTTTGAGCATGGACGTCTGTAGAAGCAACGAGGGTGCATTTAAAGATTTTAAGACCAAGCCCGCAGAATCAGGGATTTTTATAGGTACGATGGCTTCTGCAAATGCGAATACACGACAAAATTTGCATTTGCGCTTTACTTGAATAAAGTATAATTTATATCTTACGTTTAGCTATCAAAATATTGCCTGTGCCATGCTTTTCACGTTCTAGTGCAATGTCATTCGATGCTTATGTTTTCATCATAAAACTTCCTTTGTCAAGCATATTTAAAACGTGCAACAATGGCACGTGATCACGAGAGTCACTATTCATTACGCATGTGATCTTCTTCGTTAATGTAATTCTGCGTGCTCAGTGTTTATTCAAAAATGTATGATCTTGTAAAAACCTTTCTTTCTCTTATTAAATAAATAAGAAAATTCAAAGTAAACAATTTTCTAGTCAATACATTCATCTCTTAATACAACGCTACTTGTATTTGGGTTTTATTGGTCGAGCCTCTTGCAAACCTTTTCTGATTCATATCTATCTGAGTATAAATTTCTACTACAACATTAAATAATATTTTAGTTTGAAAATTATTAAGGACGGCAAATTTTATGATGTAGGTTGTTTTAAAAATGAAATCAGCAATCAATTTAGATATAATGTACGGGTAGATAAATGACTAAACATTTTTATATCCTACATTGTTATCAGGCTATCAACGTATATAATGTTTCGAGAGTACATAAGGGAGCATAATACAACAGTTTTGACAAGAGGTAAGACGTTCAGATTATTACATAGTATCTTTTTTAAATACATAATAAAAGATGTTCATGACAGATATTTTATATTGGTTCATTTAAAGTTGTTCTACTTTTATTTAATTTATTTATACACATGATACAAACAAAGCATTTTATTATATTCACCTAATGGAAAAATTGTGTCTGCATTTCTTCGCAATATAAAAATCTTACAACCTGGTATTTTATACTGAAGACGGTCTATAAAATTATCAAAATGTTTTAAAAAACACTTGGGGAAAATCCTGTTTCACAATCAAAACAGAAATTGTTAAGTTTCAAATAATACTGGGTATGGGTATAATAAAATACATTTTATTAATAGATTTAGTAATTGCATTCTTCTATTATGAATAAACAGATTTAAGATTAATGTATCAATCGCTTTTTATGACTAATATAACCAACCGTTTAATAACATCATGAGAATTCTCCGGCAAAAATACAAACGTAACTTTACTTATTATGTACTCTACATAATTCATTTCAAATCAGTTTATACTTCTTCTTTTTAGTCTATTCATTTATATATGTCTTGAGAATAATACATTTTGTTGTATTTCCGTCAATGTTTCTGTTACATAACATTTAGATATGACATCTAACATATTGCCATATGGGTTCAAGCCACCTTCAGAAGGTTATGAATTCGATAATCTTATCGCCGACCTTTCTCAAGCAATATCAGAACAGGAATTGGAAAATCTCAAACAACGCTTTAAAGGTAAGTTGTCAAATTAAATGAAGATGTTATGGTCACACGACTTGCAGACCAACCAAATGCATGCTAAGAATCGTAAGACTAGTTACGTTATTTATCATTGAATAACTTTGTCATATTATCATTTTAGAACATTTACATTGCCGTTATTATTGATGTGACAGGATGTTACCAATTTGAATAAATCTTATAACAGAGGCATTATTATACATGAATCTACGATTTTCAACTTGTTTTGTAAGATTAACATGATTAAGTTAAATAAAAACATTTAGTTCGAAATAATTTTAGAATTATTATTTGCAGCAACAGCACTTTAAGTGAATTTTGTTCTTATATCAGATGTGCAACATGTACGGACTCCAAGAGAGATGTTTGTCTCTCTGAGAAACATGGGATTCATAAATAACTACAACATACTGTATATCCAACAAATTGTTCGTGTTCTTGACAGAGAAGATCTTGTGGAAATATTGCTTAAATATGCACAAATGTTTGAGGAGGATACAGTTCTGCATTTTGTTCAGAAGACGACAATAATCAGTATTATATATAATATAATATATGGAATATGCGCACTTGTTTGCGTTTACTCAGCGAATAAAGAATAAATTTTATAAAGAAATGTTTCTGAATGCAACTTCTTAAAAGCACACTAAATATTTGTAAAGTGGTCTACAATACAGACCTTATATAAAACATCACATCATTTATTTTCTGTTATGTTTGTTTTCAGTAGTGTAGAATTATATAATCAGGAATTAATTCACCGATCTTATCTTACTGATCAAATCTTATATTTCAGATGACAGATTTTCTCTAGTTCAGTTTCATATTAAAGGTAAAGGGATTTCAGAGACTGGCCAGCTGGAAAAGTTTCGGAGTGAAGTATCTAGGCTACTGCTTTGTCCTATACAGGAAGTGATCATCAGTGGTATACAAGCAACAAACAGCACTATCTTAACACTCATGATCCCCACATTGTATGCTAACTTCCTGGCAAAACAATTAGAAAAACAAAGTCAACGCATCATTAGCTCATTTATGCTACTAAACGTTGACTTAATTATTTCCGATAACAATGAGTTTCAGCTTCAAGTCAAAGGTGCGTGAGTATCTATTCATTTAATACGTAGCTTAAAGATAAATTTTTCTATCTTAAAAGAATCTTTAGACTGCTAGCAACAAAATGAAGGAAACATGCGATCAGTGCAGACGAAGGTCAGCCGTTACATCTGAGCTGTCTGATAACTCCATGCACTGCTCACTATTCAGTTAATAAATAAATGACAATTTCCCATAAAAGATTAATTTGTTTTGTCCGATTTGAAAGATGGTAAAGTCGAAATGTTTAGATTCGCAAAGAATAAATAATGCGTGCTCATATCATTCAATTGCTTAATATGATCTAATGTGTGCAAATAAGTAAGAATGAAAAGATAAATTATATCTTATTATATGCTCTCCTTCTTTAAAAATAGAGCATGTTTAAGTTTATGTGCGCCAGGACTATTGTATATATTTACTTACCAATGATGCTTGTCACCTAATGCTGTTATATAAGTAATAAGATAGATGAAGTATTCCCAATATTAAAATGTAAAATTCGTGTTTAATTCTTATATCAAAGGAGAGTTGTATGAGGCTAGGAAAAGAAGTACCGAACATAAACCAGTTCAATCTATAAAACAAGAAAGCAGAACACCTACACGAAGAATGGATACGGAACAAACAAAACACCCACAAACACTGAAGAAGATTAAAATTATACAGGAAAATAAAGAACAGAGAGCTCAAGAAGTCATTCAAGAAGTATGCTCTTCCCTTTAGTGATGTTGGAAACTCTCGATAAAATAAAATATAACAACAACCAGAAAGAAAACATTTATATTATAATTTTTGTAAAAAAAAGCAACTAAGAATGAAGAAAATAATTTTTACTTTAAGTGGTTAGCATTTAGGTCCGATTTTAGTTCTTAAAAATAAGATGGTATGATTTAATTCACTTTATAAAAAAGTGAATTTCTGATGTCAAAACAATAAAAGAAACCGTAGGGGGGGGGGGGCTTTATACATTCATTTATGCATTAACATTATTTGTTGATTACATTACTATGAATATAAAGATGGTATTATGGTCAGGTGACTTAACTGTTTATATTGATAAGGTGTTTGTTGTATTATACTTTAGGCAATAAATAGTTTCGTAGGTGGACTTAAAAATCATGTTATAAGAATAATTCCATTTCACATTGTTTTCAGTTGTTTTATATCTGCATATTTTTCGGAAGTTTTTTTATATATAACGTAAAAACCTATGTTTAACATTAATTTCAGTAAAACATTTATAACTTTAAACATTACATTGCTTTCTGTTTTTTTGGAACAAAAACGGTCATGCTCATATTGTAACATTGCTATTACTCGACAAACGATTTGAAACGATTATTGTTTTTCTTTTCTTGTAAAACAATGTTGTTAGTTAAATTCCTCACATCAAACTGTAATGCATGTACACGACATATGTGGCAATAAATAGACAATGGTATATTTTATTATAAGCAGAGCTATATAAAAATGTACATTTTAATGTTATTATTGTGAAACTGTTTACATTGGTGTTAATAATCAAGACAACATGGTTATTCAATTGCTTAACATGATAAAATGATGGAACAACATTTTTGATAAGCAAACAGAATAATGATCCTAGTCTTGATTTACATTTTTTAATATTTGCTATATCATTCTGTGTCCTGTATTTTTATTGAACGAATTATTTGACTTACTTTTAGTACCTACTTCGAAATAAAGCACAAATCTGCATTTTTTTGTGTTGCTTGAAAATTTACTTGCTACTAACCTAATCTACTTTCAAACAATGAAATTAAATTTGTTGAAATACAATCTTTTTATATTAATACGATATAAAATGTTGATACCTTAATCTTTACATCGTTAGTGGGAGTGTTATTATTGCTTTAGAATCCCTTATTATTCAAAAACGAAGTCAAACATGATTTCTTAAAATAGTAAGTATTTTCAATTGTCAAACTGTAATGAACATTACTTGATACACACATAAAGACCTGTTTCTGGTTGCTATGTTATGAATTTATTAATTTAAGAGCAGTACAACTTATAATGTGTCGCTTAATATTCGTAATAAACTCTGCTTTAAATATATATACCAATAAAGAATGAATTCCAAATGATGACTTTTGTATTTGAATATATCAGCTTAATGTTATTTATAATAAGTAATAATAATGTTAATTTCAGTTATTAAGGTCAAAGAAAATTAATCTGACATTTCTTATCATGAACCGTTGAATAGCAAAGTGTAAAGTGTTTAAGTACATGTAGCTTAACTTTACTTCAGTTCTTCCGACTTTAAAATCGACAGTATGGTCTACAACAAAACGATTTCAACACATCTTGCATGCAGTAAGATTTTCCATTTCGATAGTATTCCAATTATTTTTTGTACATGGCATTATATCTACTTATGACACAGGTATACGAGGATTGATCAAATGGTTCTTGGCCCAATGTACTTCTGGTAGCCAGAGAACCTAATTAATGGCTTCACTTTTCAATATAATCGCCCTCTACATCAATGCACTTTGCCAACTGTGCTCCAACTTATTTAACCTTTCAAAAAAGAGCTCTCCATTGTGGTCCTCAAATTACCCATTGCTTAAGATAGTCAATCATGGTTATCCCCTGACTGTCCCAAAACATTGAAAAAAGAAAAGAAAAACAGAATCCCTAAAGCCCAACACGGCAAAATTCAAAATGTTGCAGGCTCGGTTTGATTGAGCCTCTTCATGGACCGTACTGGAAAATGCAAGTTACCGTCCACGCCCCCTATCACTAGAAGCCATCATCTTACGTGCTGATGGCACCCTCTTGAATTTCTTTGGAGAGGGTTTGCCAGGGTGCTTTCACTGCAAGCTCTGGGATTTTTTGGATTCTGGATCGAAGTGATGGACCCATGTTTTATCCTGAGATACGATCCGGTAGATAAAGTCAGGTTCATCCTCGTAGCGAGACAAAACGTTTCTTGAAAAGGCAAGCCTGGTCTTTTTCCGGTTGTAAAAATAGAGAAAATAAGAATTCCTAAAGAAAGCCCAACACGGCAAAATTGAAAATGTTGCAGGCTCGGTTTGATTGAGCCTGTTCATGGACGGTACTGTTAGGTGCAAACTACCGTCCACGCCCCCTAGCACCGGCTTAAGCAGAATTTAACATTTAACATGAACTGGTAATAGAAAGAATAGAAAGAACTAAATTACCACAAACATAGCAATAATGTGCTGAACGATCTTGAAGGATCGGAAATATAACATCTCTGATAGAATATACGGGGCGACCTTTTACAGCCTCCACACGGCACACACAACGCTGATGTGGAGATAAAATAGAGAAAATAAGAATCATTAAAGAAAGCCCAACACTTCAGTCAACTGTCTGGGAACCCATCTAGCGGAAACTTTTGACATGCATAGACATCAGTCAGAATTGCCTGAACTGAAATAAAGCTTATATCAATTTTCCTAGCAATGCTTCGCAGGTCTTGCCTTCTGTCGCACATCACCAGATCGTTCACATCTTTGGCAGTTTCATCGTTGGTGGCCTCTTTTGGCTAACCAGGCCGTTCATCATCTCGAATGCTCTCCCTGTCCCTCTTAAATTAAGCAGCCCATTTTTTCACAGTGCTATAGCAAGGGGACTCCCTTCCCAAGTGTATCCATGATGTCTTTATGGATTTCCTTGGGGGACATCCCTTTCTTACAGATGTACTAAATAATGGCTCTGATGTCAACTTTCTTCATTTGGTGTAAATGACACATCCCTCTACTGAACAAAGTGTGTTTAATGTTTCTTAACCTTTGTAAAACCGAGTGTTACCCGGTCAGTAATACCGCCACCGTGGTCGAGGGGTTGAGTCGATGACTTCTAATCCAGTTACCTCTCTGGCGTGGGTTCGATCCCCGGGAGATGATTTGGTAGTTTAGCACGGAGGAAGGTAGTCTAGTACTGGTATAACTCTCCAGGAACGATGTTTAGGAAACTACCCGCCTATATAACTGAAATACTGTTGGGAAAAGGCGTAAAATGAAACAAACAAGCACACAAACGGTCAGTAATCTTCAATAAGATATCGGTATCGACGTATCGTGTGTAAATGTCAATGTAGTGGCTAGAAGTATATCGGGCCGAGAACTTTTTGATCATACCTCGTACTCATTGAGGTGAGGAAAATTAAGCGACGATAGGACAAATTGTTCAATGATTGTATTTCGAACATGACATGCATTTTACGAAATAATTTCCTTGTGGTAAGAATTATTGAGATGACTTTTGTAAATATGTTTTTGATATTAAATTGACCTACTTGTCATATTTAGTTGCATTATGTAACTTTGTTATATTCACGACCACTGTGCAAAATAAACGATGTTTGAAGCTTATTTGTTTTTTTTTCTTCCCGAAAAAACACTCTTTAAATATTAAATATAATTATTTTGTAAAGAAATGAAAATAAGGGTGCTAAAAAGTATGTCGATAGTGAACAGTACAATAATTTTTATCATGGCGACAATTTTTCTGGTTTTCCACTAAAAAGTAATTTATTTAAAACTACATTAATGTTTGAATGCACTTAACATGAAAATGTTAACATGGTGATAATCACATTTAATTAAAATAATTTATTAATACGGGTGTTTTATTTTTTTATTTTCATAGTGTTAACATCGTAACAACAGTGATGCAGTGTATACGATAAAGAACCGCGCGAATGATATTGTCGTTATGAAAAATATATGGGTTTTTTTACAGTGCTCTTAAAACTATTTAAGATTTCATGAAATGTGTCCAAAGAAAACCGATACTCAAACAATCCAGTATATTGTCACAAAACAAAATTTAAAATCCTGTAACGTATGAACACAGAGTATTAAGTGACAAATATATTAAGTTTCGCTCAGTCCGTGGTCATAACTAAACTTAGCTCCAATACATTTGCGAGAAATTACCAATGTGTATAGATATTCATATTTGCACAAAATGACCAAGTGCATACGCTATCATCCTGAAATTCATAGACCCCTATACTTATTGCACTCTAAATCAAAATAGCATTATTAATTAAGAATTCTTTAAGCAATTCTTTTCCTTCATCACTTAGAAGTTGCATATAGATATTTACTACATTTTACATTATCGTGTTTCATTTATCTCAGGAAGGAATGCTTGTTAAATAGTGCAGGTAGTTAAACGTATTTTCAAGTTATTACTAACCCTTCCTTAAACCAATCAAGTATTTGTGCTACGATGTGGCCAAGTTATCTCCATTTAACCAAAATTCTGCTATCATCATATGCTATCTGTGATGACTGATCATGGCTGCCATTGTTCACTTTTCAGTATATGCATATATGATTGCCCCCAATACAGTATACATAATAAGAAACAAACGAGATGCTAAGGGCCGTCTGTAGCCGCTGTGTGGGTAAGGTCTTTGGCTTCGAACCATTAGCGGATGGGATATGAATTAGAATCCCGCTCTTTATATGAGACAGTCATCAAACTAGCATATGAATCGTAGATGGTTCTGCTCAGGCACGAGCTCGTGTTTGAAATAATGCATAGAGGACACCAGAGGTATTCTTCAAATACTAAACATTAAAAGCTGCTATATAACCATAACTGTGATTGTGCGATGTAAAAAACAAGCCAAAACAAGCAATCTTGATTCTAGTAAATTTATTGTTATACGAAGGTTTTACCTTTTAATGTAATAAAATCAAAATAGGACATAATCTATCCATTAAGAAATAATGTACACTTTTCTTGAAAACCATTATTTAATTATACAAATAAAGTTAGAGTATGTATTATAGTCCAAATCTCTTAAATCAATAAGTCAACACAATAAGATTCGCATCGATTGTGAAAATAATATTATTCAAAATGCAGAACTTGAAAGACCAAATTTATATCATAAAAACAAAGACAGTTAAAAAAAACAATGGACTCGAAACAGGGCAATCGGAGAGGAGCCCACAAAAGCGTCAAGACTAGTATGATACAAAAGAAACTGCGAAAATTGATGATATAACAGTTTTGTGACAACAAAATCAAATCGAAAGGTATAGTTAGAAATAGTCACTTGTGTTATTAACAACTTCTTTGCCGTTTTAAATCCCATCCAACTTCTTTGATTTGATAACTTCGCAAGGCTTTAATTCGGATACGCTACGTAAAAAGCGTACAACTTTCTTTTAAAAGATGTTTAAGCTATCCCTTACTAAAATCAACAAGTAATTTATATTTCATAAAACTGTTAAGAGGTATGAATAAGCGCATTCTTGTGATTTTCAAACAATATAGGGTAAATGCAACTTTTATCGAGCACGACTTCACTCTTCCCCTCGGTACGTGTACGTCATTGAGAAGACACAGGGCATCGGCAGATGATTGAAGAATCAATGTTTCGTTTAAAGCGGCAAGTTTGCATGTTCTCTACAGCTCGGGGTACGTATAAGGCGGCACGACTTAGCTTGCTTGAAGGTTGCTGCCGGTGTCGTGACTAACGCCGAGGGGAGTTGCCCTACAAAGTAGGCGCTTTGGTCGACGAGGATGGTGTGCTAAGGTGCGTTAGCCCTTAGCACGGTTAGACGGCTTGAACGACAGGCCATTTGCTGGCACCAACAGCCCTTTTCAGGGCTACCCTTTCATATTGTCACAGGTTACTGTGCATTTAGGTTCTCATTGACCGCCGTACAGTGACGTATTTTTCGCTCAAAATTCATATCTTTGGTTAATACTCCGTGGAAATTGCATGGAGGTAAATCATCACCACTTTGTGAAATTAACTCAACCCTTTAAAGGCATGACTGGTGACAGGTCCGGGGTCCGTACTCGACAGCGAAAGCTGCATTTTGTGCATTTACGGGTGGATGGACCCTCATTAAGCATACAATACATACATATCGAGCATGAATGTCTGCAGAAGCAACGAGGATGTATTTAAAGACCAAGCCCGCAGAATCAAGGTTCGAGGGCTTCTGCAGATGTGAATACACGACAAATTTGCATTTGCGCTTTACTTGAATAAAAGTATACATCTTAAGTTTAGATATTAAAATATTGCCTGTGCCATGCTTTCCACGTTCTAGTGCAATGTCATTCGATGGTTATGTTTTCATCATAAAGTTACCTTTGTCAAGCATATTCTAAACGTGGAACAAAGGCAAGTGGTCACGTGAGTCTCTATTCGTTAAGCATGTGTTCTTCACCGTTCTTCTAAACCTGCGTGCGCAGTGTAAAATTCAAAAATGTATGATCTTGTAAAAACTTTTTCTTTCTCTTATTAATAAGAAAATTCAAAGTAAACCATTTTTTAGTTAACACATTCATCTCTTAATACAACGCTAATTGTATTTGGGTTTAAATGGTCAAGCCTCCTAAAAACTTTTTTATTCTTATTCATATCTATCTCAGTATAAATTTCTACTACAACATTACATAATATTTTATTGTATGATGTAGGTTGTTTATTAAATAAGCAATCAATTCAGATATAATGTACGACTAGATAAATGACTAAACATTTTTATATGCCCGAAAGGACATATTATGTTATACCCCCTGGCGTCCGTCTGTCTGTCCGTCCGTCCGTCCGTTAGCAATTTGGTTTCCGGAGCATAACTTAAGTTCCATTTGGCCCACAATGTTCAAACTTCATAGGATGATTGTCCATATTGGGAAGAAGACCCCAATTGATTTTTGGGCAAAAGGTCAAAGGTCAAGGTCACTATTACCTTAAAAACTGAAAACAGTTTCCGTCCGTTAGCAATTTGGTTCCGGAGCATAACTTATGTTCCATTTGGCTCACAATTTTAAAAACTTCATAGGATGATTGTCCATATTGGGTAGAAGACCCTATTGATTTTGGGGTCAAAAGGTCAAAGGTCAAGGTCACTATTACCTTAAAACTGAAAACAGTTTCCGGAGCATAACTTTAGTTCCATTTCACCCACAATGTTCAAACTTCATAGGATGATTGTCCATATTGGGTAGAAGACCCATATTGATTTTGGGGTGCGTCAGTCTGTCCGTCCGTCCGTCCGTTAGCAATTTGGTTTCCGGAGCATAACTTAAGCTCCATTTGGCCCACAATGTTTAAACTTCATAGGATGAATGTCATTAATGGGTAGAAGACCCCTATTGATTTTGGGGTCAAAAAGTCAAAGGTCAAGGTCACTATGACCTTAAAACTGAAAACAGTTTCCGTTCGTAAGCAATTTGGTTTCCGGAGCATAACTTAAGTTCCATTTGGCCCTATATGTTCAAACTTCATAGGATGATTGTCCATATAGGGTAGAAGACCCCTATTGATTTTGGGTCAAAGGTCAAGGTCACTATTACCTTGAAACTGAAAACAGTTTCTGTCCGTTAGCAATTTGGTTTCCGGAGCATAACTTCCATTTGGCCCACAATGTTCAAACTTCATAGGATGATTGTCCATATTAGGTAGAAGACCCCTATTGATTTTGATGTCAAAAGGTCAAAGGTCAAGGTCACTATTACCTTTAAACTGAAAACAGTTTCTGGAGGTTAACTTAAGTTCCATTTGACCCACAAATTTCAAACTTCATAGAATGATTGTCCATATTGGGTAGAAGACCCCTATTGATTTTGGAGTCACAAGGGCAAAGGTCAAGGTCACTAATACCTTGATACTGAAAACAGTTTCCAGAGCATAACTTAAGTTCCATTTGGCCCAAGATATTCAAACTTCATAGGATTATTGTCCGTATTGGGTAGAAGACCCCTATTGATTTTGGGGTCAAAAGGTCAAAGGTCAAGGTCACTATTACCTTAAAATTGAAAACAGTTTACGGAGCATAACTTAAGTTCCATTTGGCCCACAATATTCAAACTTCATGGGATTATTGTCCATATTGGGTAGAAGACCCCTATTGATTTTGGGGTCACTAGGTCAAAGGTCAAGGTCTCAATTACCTTAAAACCAAAAACAGTTTCCGGAGCATAAAGTAAGTTCCATTTGGCCCACTATATTCAAACTTCAAAGTCACTTTTACCTTAATACTGAAAACAGTTTCTAGAGATTAACTTAAGTTCCATTTGGCCCACAATATTCAAATTTCATAGAATGATTTTGCATATTGGATAGAAGACCCCTATTGATTTTTGGGTCACAAGGTCAAAGGTCAAGGTCACTATTACCTTTAAATTGAAAACAGTTTCCGAAGCATAACTAAAGTTCCATTTGGCCCACAATATTCAAACTTCTTAGGATGATTGTCCAGATAAGGTAGAAGACCCCTATTGATTTTGGGGTTACAAGGTCAAAGGTTAAGGTCATTATTAATAACTTAAGTATTAATCAACCTACAGCTGTAAAATTTTATAGGATGAACAGCTAATTCCCATGTCTTACAAATGCCTCATCCCTAGTA